CCCGACCGGAGGCGCCCCGCCGAGCGCTCAGCTCCGGCCGCAGCCGCCGCTGCCGCCGCCGCCGCCGCCGCCGAGGAGGGATTTTTTTTTTTTTTTTTCCCTTTTCAAAATGGCGCCCAATGCCCGTCGCCCCGCCGGATGACGTCATCCCCCTCCGCCTCCTCGGACAGCCCATGCCGCGGGGGATGTCGGGGGCGCGCCGCGCGCAGACTGAGTCTGCGTCAGCTACCTCGACCTCGGCGAGGCGCCGCCCTGAAGGGGACGCCTCAGGGCGGTGGAGAAGTGTGACAGAGTGCGGGTTGGCTCTTCACCCTCAGTTTATTGGGCGTCTGGCGTGTGCCCGGCGCTCCCCTCAAAATCGGCTAAGCCGGTAGCTCTCACCTCGGAGGTGCTCCACACAGGCCTCCCCTAGTGCCCCCTCCCCTCCGAGCCAGCCCCGCCTCTTTTCTTCTTAACCAATGGAAGAGCGGGTCCTTGGCGTATCAGCCAATGGGAGGAGATCGGAGGCGGGCGGGGGAGGTGTCTGGGTTGGGCCTTACCTGAGCTGGAGCACCTGAGCGCGTTGTTCTTTCGGTTTCCCCACTCCTGCCTGCTAGGCCCTAAGCGCCCTAAGTCCACCTTTGATTGCAGTACCCTTTCCGGAACGTACCGTTGCCTGCCAATTGCTATTTCAGTAGTTTTTGAGCCCCTAGTCACAGTCCTAGGGAAACGTGGCCGACCGTTTCTTCATTTGACAAAGTGTTTCTCCGGCATACGGGGATATCATCCCCTTACAGATTGGATGTTTCCGATATCACAGCCTCTCCCAGGAATGTGAAGTTAGCAGATGTGTATCGCTAGAAGACACCCAGCCTGGCACGTGTCACACGCTGTTCATATCCCTTGGGATGCAGTGTTCAGCAGAGCCAGCAAATCCTATGCCCTGGAGGAACTTTCCTTTCAGCATTGGAGCGGTATAAGGAAAACATAAGTCACAAGGAACGTTGAAAACATAAAGCGAGGAAGGAAGATGTGTAATGGGACAGCTGAGGTTTTCAACGGCTTGACAGGAGAAGACCTCAGGAAGAGGAGGGCGCAAGCAGCAGAGGCAGGCAGCGAGGAAGGGCTGCAGCGGGAAGCAGAGAGCCAGTGCCAAAGCAGGGGGCAGGATTTCACCGGATGTGTTTGCGAGGCAACAAGAAATAGTGTGGTAGTGGCAGTGGGGTGGGGACAGTGCGAGGGGGAGGCAGGGAGGTGAGAGCAGGAGGACCCAGGGAGGCGTGCCATTTCCGGAACTTGTACTCCAGGTGAGAGCTGGCCGAGGGCCGTGAGCATGGCGGGGCTGTGGTACGCTTGAGTTTTACCTGGGCCACCGTGGCCCCTCTCCTACTTCGAAGGCAGGGCCTCCAGGGTTTGCAGGTGGAGTAGCTGCAATGTGTGAGAAAACTCGAACCCTGCACTGTCACGATTGGCGCACCTAGGAGAGTGGAGCCCAGTAGTACTTTCTAAGAAGTGCGGGTGTCTTAGAAGACAGTAATTCCAACTCTCCTAGTTTTCTTTTTCTTTTTTTATCTGGAGACAGGATTTTGCTATGCACCTCAGGCTCGAACTCACAACGATCCTCCTGCATCAGCCTTCAGAGTGCCGGGATTACAGGTGTGGACCACCATGCTCACATCACCACACACAGCCCTTTTCTTGTTTTGTTTTTTGAGACAGAGTCTCTCTCTGTAGTGCAGGCTGTTCCTGAACTTATTCTGTATCCCAGGCTGGCCTGGAACTCACAGCAATGCTCCTGCCTCAGCCTCCTGAGTACTGATATTAAGGCTGTACCACCGTGCACAACCCGCCTCTCACATATCTTATGACATTCCTGGCATGCATTCATTTCACTTATCCAAAAGCTATCATCTGATTACTTTGCTGTTGCTGCTGTTGTTTGTATTTTAAATAAATAAGTCTACTAGGTAATTTAGGAATGAAAAAATGGAAATATTTAACTTCTCTAATGTTAGTATTCTTTATGTAGATTTGATTTTCTGGTCTATATAATTTTCCTTCTCTCTGAAGAATTTCTTTCAACATTTCTTACAAACCAAGTCTGCCAGTGATAAATTCCCTTAGTTCTTGTTTACTGGAAAAGACTTGAATTCTCCTTCATCTTGGCGGTGGGAGTAAGGGAATGTAAAAAGAACTGGGATGTGTTATGTTGGTGTACCGACTCCCTGTGATGAATGTAATCCTTACGTATACAAGTGTGTACTAATAAAAATCGAAAGCGTCCTGGGGAGATGACTCAGCAGGATAAGTGCTTCCCTGTCAAGTGCAAGGGCCTGAGTTCAATCCCCGGATCCACAAAAAAAAAGCATAATTGTGCTGGGTACAGAGCTTTGTGTTTGTAGGGTTGTTTCCCTCATCAAGACTGTAAATATTTCTTTCCACTCTCGCTTGTGTCACTGTGTTCACACCCCATTCCAGCTACCACTAAATTTTCTTTCCATAAGTTTCTAGGCAGGTGGGAAGGTAGGAAAAGCCGTGGTAGACCACTGGGCTTGGCCCACAGAGGATGCCTACACACTTGTATGCCACTGAGACCCAGGATGGGTTTAACTCATTTTCTTTTTTTTTTTTTTTTTTAATATTTATTTGTGTGTGTGTGTGTGTGGCCAGCTCAGCCCACCAGGGGGCGGGGCTGGCTGGCATGTGGTGCTGGGGGATTGAACTGCGGTCCCTTCTGCTTTGCTAAGCTTGTTCTAAGTAGGTGCTCCAGACCACTGAGCCATCTCACCAGCCCTAACTCATTTTCTTTGTCTCCATTTTATAAATTGTGAAGAAAGTCAAATATTGCTTGAGTACTCAGATTAGAGAGAAACCTCATACCTGTCTAGCACCCAAGACTGTTCTTAGCATGTACTCAGCTCTCACTTGTCCTGGACAAAGTACTCCTTCCACTCCACCAGCATACTCCTGGTCATCATTCCATGATTGGGTAAGTTATTTCCATAGGTGGAAATCCTCACAAGCAGGGTGCGGACTCTGTCTTTTCCGACCAGTGCATCTTGGCTGGGTCTTCCCATCTCTGCTCAGTCAGGCTTGGCTCCTTGAGGCCACATGCCCAGTCACATGGCCCAGCTACATTGTCCACACGGGTCTTCCTCAAATCTTGTGGCACCAGCTCCTACATCCATAGGCATCGTTCTGTGGACCCCCAAACCTAGAAAGGTAACGTCAGACCTCTACCCTGTGTGTTAAGTGAGTATTAAGATCATAGAACAAAAAGCCCAGAAGAGTGTTCCAGACAGACAGAACCTTCCAGTCCATTCTGTTTACCCTGCACCCAACAGTTTTGCTACTGTCATATGCTTAATGAGCCATGAACTTTCTAGGCTGTGAGGATGAAGTGTGTGTGTCCTACAGACACAATCAGGCATGCAAGCGCACAGGAGCCTCTTGTTGGGCAGAGGGCTTCAGGCGAGCCGAAAGGGTGAGCCCCCATTTCCCAGCATCTTGGCTGTGCATGGGGTTGTCCCTGTGCTGCCACCACAGGAAGCGTGTTTAGTCCTAGGTGTATGGACATTTTGTGTAGCCCATCACACAGACTTCTCAGTTCTCATACATTTTAAAATTGTATTATCAGTTGTATTTTTATAATATCAAAAGAAAAAACTTGATGAATTTCAATACTAAAGGCTTATCTGTGATGGAAGAATTTTGGTATTTTAAATTTCCCCTTTTTTCAACTGGGCTTTTCCAACTTGCCCAGTGACAGGAGCGGCTGTGTGTGTCCAGACACTCCTCTTTGCTTTCACTGTTGCTGCTATATGTGTTTTGGCAATGACCTGGCAGATTTTTAATTCCTTCTTCCTTTTCTCTCTCTCCTCAGGATTCTCACTGCCCCTCCTGATTCTCGGCTGTGCCTCTCTCCTCCAGTCAGACTTGTGGAGTCAGTGCTTTCCTGCAACTTGACTGTGCGTCAGGAATGTTTAATTTTAGCTCTCAGCTCTTGGCTCAGTGCAGGCATCTGGGTGTATTTTGTGTTAGAATTTAAACCAAGAGCTTCCCCTGCCTTAGGGCCTGAAGGGCATCATGGTCCTCAGGCCATGGCCAAGATCTTTATAGAACTCTCTACAGGAAGGTTTCAAATCTCCCTAACAAGATTTAGAAAATTTCAGAGCCTGTTAGAGTTCAAGCTGTAGTTACATCCATTGAAGAGGTCTTCTACCTTGTGAATTATTATTTTCTGAACTGTAAATTGAGAAAACCCACAAGGAGAACAGTGCAGTATAATGAGGTAGGATAGTGCATTCCATTATGAGCCAACTCATTTGCTTCTTGGAAGAAAATTGTGTTTTCAGGGAAAGTAACAAGTGCCAGAAAGGCAAAGATGAACTGCAGGGTCTGGGTATAAGGAAACTTCTAGAAGGGAATAGGAGAGGTAGAGGAAAATGGCAGTGTGGTGGCGGGAAACTTCCACATAGTTCTTCAGAGCCATAGGAAAGTTAATGCACACCTTGTACAGACCCTGCGAGGATAAGCGTCCTATAAGGCACTGGGGCCTAGTGGCCGAGGAGGTTGGAGGAGGGAGCGCTAAGGTGCAGAAGGAGAGTTCCAAGACAGCTTGCAGAACCAGAGCCCAGGCCAACTTTAACAAGACCTCAAAGAGAGATGGGGTTCCATGTAACACCTAGTTTCTTGGCATTCCTTTCTGCAAAATGACAGCTGCACATTTCAAATATGTAGGTAGAGAGCTAAGATCAAAACTGCTTCAGGGGCTGGGGAGAGAGCTCAGTGGTCTAAATGCCTGTTTGGCAAATGCAAGGACCAGAGTTCAATCCCTGGTACAGGACGCTGTGCCAGTCCTGGAGCCCCAGGTGCACTGAGCTGGCTCTGAAACTGGGCATCGTGGTGCACACCTATAATCCCAACACTAGGGAGGCTGAGACAGGAGGATCACTCCAAGTCTGAACCGCATAGTGAGACCCTATATCAAATAATGGATGGATGAATAAATGAATAAATAAATAAATAAAACTACTTCAACTGCTATGGGTGTATATGCATATGATGATATGTTTTTGAATGCAGACAACATAAATTGAATGGATATAATTTTGTGGGTAGCTCTCCTAATATTAGTAGTTATATGCAGCATGTGCTGGGAAAATATCCGCCAGAGGAAAAAAG